TGTGCCGTGCCGGCCTTCATTGGTGTTCGCTAACAGCACTTGCCCCAAGAGTCTGTTAAGGCTACACGGGGGAACCTTTGTTTTGTTTGTGTAGGCGTGCAACGTTTCATGCACGACCGCGTCTCCAAAGTAAAATGCGATAAAATAAAATAAAAAAATCTCTTTCGTCATATTGTTCAATGCCCCCTCAATGTTGGCGTGCGTTCCTCTAACTCCACCCCCCCCCCCCCCCGGCGTGTTCACGGAACACGGAGATGCAATTGCGTTCAAACGTTCAAACATTCTTCACAAACTCCAAACGGAATTGCACTGGCGTGCGTGGCGCGCTACGAGTTTTCCGTCCCCTCTCCATCGCAGTCGGAGTGTTTGCAGGAGTGCGGCACGGTCATTCCAGCGGCCATCTGGGCAGCGGGGGAAAAATCCTTTGCAAGTCACGGTAATGGGTCTCAGGTTAACAAAGGTTGGTCCCCCCAGAGAAGGCGGAGGTTCAGAGCTTCCCTCCGTGCGGGTCAAGACGCACGCGAGCGTCTCCACGTTTCACGAGGTCACTTTTAAAGCCTGCACCTTCGAGCGGATTCATTCGCCCAACGAGCATCTCGGTGTGGACGGCGGTGAAGGCAAGCTCAGCGCTCAACACTCGTGACCGCCAACACCATCGCGCCACTGCTCAGCGCTCAACACTCGTGACCGCCAACACCATCGCGCCACTGCTCAGCGCTCAACACTCGTGACCGCCAACACCATCGCGCCACTGCTCAGCGCTCAACACTCGTGACCTCCAACACCATCGCGCCACTGCTCAGCGCTCAACACTCGTGACCGCCAACACCATCGCGCCACTGCTCAGCGCTCAACACTCGTGACCGCCAACACCGTCGCGCCACTGCTCAGCGCTCAACACTCGTGACCGCCAACACCATCGCGCCACTGCTCAGCGCTCAACACTCGTGACCGCCAACACCATCGCGCCACTGCTCAGCGCTCAACACTCGTGACCTCCAACACCACCGCGCCACTGCTCAGCGCTCAACACTCGTGACCGCCAACACCATCGCGCCACTGCTCAGCGCTCAACACTCGTGACCGCCAACACCATCGCGCCACTGCTCAGCGCTCGACACTCGTGACCGCCAACACCATCGCGCCACTGCTCGAGCACCTCCCGGCGATCACGCAAAGTCGACGCCAACGTTTGCGTGTATACTGGGCGAGCGAAACCACGCGTCCACCAGATAACTCCCAAGCACACCGCCCGGCATCACTGCTACTACTGCTGCTGCTGCTGCTGCTCCCGTAGCACAGGTTGTGGTGATGATATCGTTTGCCAATGACTTCATCCGTAGGGGGAAGAAAAGCACTCGACCACTGCCCTCCACGCACACCCTCAACTCGTACGTGAACGCTTGCGCTGGAAACAACAGCCAGCCGCCAGCCATTGCTGCAAACCGTGGCTTTAATCCCAAAGACGAATACAACAGACTGTTGGGGCAAGTTCTGTTAGCGAGCACCTATGAAGGCCGGCACGGCACACGAGGGAGTGTGGGTGGCCAGCACCAGGCCCGGCCGCCTTTGTATCCCCAGTGGCAATGTTTACACACCGTCACCAGGTACTCATTTGAGGCTGAGTCGACCTAGGGGAGGCCCCAGGACCCGGTTCAGATAATCGTCACCGGTGTTGGCCGTGAGTGGGAATCGAACCAGGGTCGCCGGGTTCGTAGCGCAACACACTGACCACTCCCAAGGGCACACACATCACACACACACATCACACACACACACATCACACACACACATCACACACATCACACACACACACCACACACACACACATCACACACACACACATCACACACACACACATCACACACACACATCACACACACACATCACACACACACATCACACACACACACATCACACACATCACACACACACCACACACACCACACACACACACATCACACACATCACACACACACACATCACACACACACATCACACACACATCACACACACACACATCACACACACACACATCACACACACACACATCACACACACACATCACACACACACACACCACACACACACACCACATACACACACATCACACACACACACACATTCGTAGGTAAATTGAGAATAGTAAAAAAAACAACTCCAACGTCCGAAAGCGCGCGCCAAGCACGGCAGCGGCAATCTCCATCTCGGGCACTCGTCACGAGGCCGCACCGTGCAGCGACTTTGCCAAGAGGCCGGGGGGGGGGGAGAGACGCCGACACCCGGCACCACCACCACCACCACCCCCCCCCGCCTCCACCAGGGGCTGGCTGCCCAGACCCCTGCCGGCGCTTCACGCCACCACGGGCAGCAGTGGAGCTGCAGGGAGAAGATCGGCGACTCTGCACCAAGCCGGGCCGGGCCTGCCCGGCCCGCACACGCACTGAGAATCACCGCCTTGCACCAGCCCCGCTCACTCAGTCAGCACCCACCACACACACACATCACACACATTACACACACACACATCTCACACACACACATCACACACACACATCACACACACATCACACACACACACATACATCACACACACACACATCACACACACAAACATCACACACACAAACATCACACACACATCACACACACACATCACACACATCACACACACACACATCTCACACGCATCACACACACACATCACACACACACATCACACACACACATCACACACACAAACATCACACACACACATCACACATTCGCACCACACACACATCACACACATCACACACACACACATCTCACACATCACACACACACATCACACACATCACACACACACATCACACACACAAACACCTCACACACACAAACATCTCACACACACAAACAAACATCACACACACACACAAACATCATACACACAAACATCTCACACACAAACATCTCACGCACACATCACACACATCACACACACACACCACACACACACACAAACATCACACACACACCACACTCACACAAACATCACACACACACACACCACACTCACACAAACATAACACACACACACTAGTTCTATACACACACACACGAGCGCCTGATGCCAAACCTTGCAGACTTCTGACGCCAACGTCCTTAAATTCCCGTCAAGTGCACAAAGACAACAACGATGTTCTTCTGCACAGCCTCAAAGGCCGTTGGGCAAAGTGCTGTTGGCGAGCACCTATTAAGGCCGGCACGAATCACAAGCAGGTGTGGACAGCACAGCGCCAGGCCATCTCTCCCGCTCTCTCTGTGCAGTGCTGATGTTTACGCTGTTTGGCACAGCGTACCAGGAATCTTACTCGTTCAAGGCTGTCCATACGAGGAGAGGCACCGGGACAGGTTCTGATATCACTCGCACACCGACGTCATCTGTGACCCAGAATTGAACCCAGGTTTGCCGGGTTCATAGCCCTCGGCACGGAAAACCCCTTCGCCGCCACGACGCGTACACACTCGTACGGATCGTGTCTGACGCTAATTTTCGCAAAAAAAATGATTTGGGCGACGGTGCTGCTGCTGCTGCTTTGACAGTTGTCCACAATTAACTCAACACATCCCTCAATAACGTCATGGCCTTAAAAGTAAACAAGTCACATTTTTGTTGGGCCATGACCATAGCGCATGGACGGGAGACGCGGGAGAGAGACGGGGTGGACAAAACGTGAACAGTTAGACTCGCACAGCGACTGAGCTCCAGACAAAATATTTCAGTAATCTTAAAGTTTTCCTTCTGAAAACATTCGCGTTAAATGTCGTGGGCACAATGCAACGCGCTCGAAGTTAACCACCCGGCTAGCATCCACCGCCGTCACTCGACGCTTTGAGGCCTGGCCCACGCTCGATCAAATGTCGAAAGATATTAAAAACGGAGAGACTTGGGGGGGGGGGGTTGGTTTTACAAAATCATCCCTGTGACGTTACCTGAAGCTCACAGCTGCAATGAGTTGCATGCCACTCCAACCTACTGTGACGTTACCTGAAACTCACAGCTGCAATGAGTTGCAAGCCACTCCAACCTACTGTGACATTACCTGAAACTCACAGCTGCAATGAGTTGCATGTCACTCCAACCTACTCTGACGTCACCTGAAGTTCACAGCTGCAATGAGTTGCAAGCTGCATGCATCTCAAATCAGTCCAACACAAACGCTCAATTTTCAAGTCAGGATCCAGTGCGACCGGTTGACTGAGGACCGCACACCGAGCCATCACTTGCGATGAACCCTTCAATCCAGGTCTTTTTATCCATTTGTGATGAAACCAGGAAAGGGCTCGGCCTGGTCACCAATGACGCCGACAGAAAATATCAACATCCCCGGCCTCCCTCCCTCCCTCCCTCCTCACTCCTCGAGTGTTTATTTTAAGAAAAGTTCAGTCAACCCAGTAAAAATCCCCAAAATGAGCTCTGTAAATAATGACGCCCGCATGACCTGCAGTAACGCCTGCCAGGCAGTCTGTTTATTGTTGGAATGTACCACGCATCGGAAATCTTAAAAGAGAAACCTTTCTATTTTAAATGACATGCGCACTGGCACAGTGTTTCACGCAAGTTGCAAAAAAAAACGATCCAACGCTGAGAATTTAAAACAAACCGACGGTTCGACCCGCGGCAAAGCGGACCGTCGCTTCCGCAAGGTGCGCGGCAAAAATCCGACGCAGGCCCAGCCGACGACGCGATGGCAAGCGAGAGAGCCGCGCGCAAAAGCCGTTCTCGCAGCACCGCGCCGTTCCTGAAGAAGCTCCCAGCAAGCGGGAGCGAAACGTCGGGACGTCGTTCCCGGAAAAACACGCGTCGGCGGCGTCACAACCAGGGGGCTCCCCCGTCGCGCTTCGTTTCTGGCGGGCCGATCGATGCGGCCCTCGATCATGGACGGCCCGAGCGGAAGGGGTGGTGGGAAGAGGTGCGGGGTTGGGGTCACGAGGGGGTCAACCGCCGCATCGCTCACCGGCAAATCGAACGTCTTCTCGGAGTCGTCGAGGAAGACCACCTTGAGAGGCAAGAGTTTGCCGCGAGGCTTCGCCGCCGCCGTCGTCGCGCGCGGGCTCGGGGTCGCCCTCGGCTCGCCGCCCGCGCCGTCTGCCCCGGGCGCCCCTTCCCGAACGTCGCCCATGGCCTCTCGCCGGGCGTACCGCGAGCGGTCACGGCGCCGCACGCCGGCGCCGCCGCCGGCACCGCCCCCACCCGACCGCTGCTTCGCCTGCACGGGAGGGGGGAGGGGGGAGGCGGCATAAACGTCGCGTTCGTCGAGTGGCGCTCTCCGCTGTGCGCGCTTCGGATACGCGTGGTGTCGCTCCGAGGGTCGGGTTGGTCGGTCCGATGGATTGGTCGGAGGGACGGTCCCGTCGGTCAGTCGGTCGGTCGGTCGGAAGGTCAGTAATTTTGTCCAATGGTTGGTCGCTTGGCCCGAGGGTCAGTCGGAGTGTCGGTCAGTCAGCGCGAGGGGTTGTCGGAGGGTCGGTCCAAGAGTTGGTCGGTCTGTCACCCCGACACTCGTCTGAACGTGCGAATGGACCCAGCCACGTACGAAGGGAGACTTGTTGCAAGCAGCTGTTTGGAAACCGCTTGTTTAAAATACACGCGTGACCACATGACCTCTGACGTCTAGGCGCTAACCGGCACGGCTAAATACGTTCAACGGACCCCGTCGCCCTCACGAGACCGGGACGGAGTGGGGAGACCCTCATCCAGCGATGGAGTGGACAAAAGGGCCGTGCTCGGTAGGAGACGAGCTCCACCGATCCTCACGGGGTAGCGCTCCTCGCGTTGCGCGACCGCCTCCCGTGGCACGGGAGGGCCGGGTCAGCGGCGAGCGCGGAGCGGGTCGCAACTTCGAGACAGAGCTACTTGCCAGGCTGGCTCGCACCGGACGGACAGTTCGCAAACGCCACACGTGGAAGGTGGTTGGTGGAGGGTGGGGGAATTGAGAAATGAACAAGGACGCAGGACTGGTGTCACGTCTCGATTGATGTCCGCCGGGCGCAGGCCCGAAACGTCTGCGACAATGCGCGCGTGAATTGACCGTCGGACTATAATGAGAACGGCAAAGTCAAATTTCCACTCGCGGCTCACGTCTGTTAAGATACCTTCTCACGTAGCGCTTCGGTTGTAATGGTTATCAGTGCACTGGGCTCACAGTGCAGAGGTCATCCATTCAATCTCCTCGGTGTGGCAGTTCAAACGAATGCGTGGAGTCCCCAAATCTCCTCCGCCTCTCTGTTCACCCAGCAGCAACACCACGCTCGACCGGCAGATCACACGTGGTGCGGTAAAAGTGTGCGGCACTCCCGGCTCTTCCAAGACTTCTGGTCAGATTCGTTTTGTTTTTTAAACCTTCTAGAGCGGCTCTCTAGAGCTCCATGTCGTGGATGCCCTTCCATCAGCAGTGGTGCGAGCGATTATAGGTCCTGTGCCTTTACCTTTCCGAAGAATTGGCAAACTCCAGCATTGGTGTTAAAAAAAATTGCAATAATTCACAAATATAAATAACGATATTTTCCCACCTTTTGTCAATCCACTACTGGGGGTTACTTGACCATACTTCACCACGGCGGTCAGTGCGAGATGGTGAAAAGAAAACCGGCGGTGGACACGGACCGGTTCTTACGTCGCTCGGCACGGATGATGTTACCAATGGCCGGGATACGAGGGCCTCACGTCTCTGGGTTCATAGCAGGGTGTGGTAACCACTGTGCTGCAACGCATTTAGAATACGGTATTGAAATACTAGCGTGACGGGTGATAAATAGAAGTAATGTCAGCCTCTTGATGTTTTTCTTCTGAAATTACTCCTGTTACTCCATGTGTTCAATACTGTGACAGGTCCTATTATACAAAGACAAAGATCCCTTTATAGCCTACTTAGACTGTTGGGGCTGTTAGTGAGCACCTCTGAAGGCCATCGCTGCACCCAAGAGCATGAGTGTTCAGCACCACTCCTGGCCGCCTTTGTCTCCCCAGTACTGATATTTACCCCCCATGCCAGGTCCTCATTTTATGGCTGAGTCGGCCTAGGGGAAGACCAGATATCCATCGCTGATATGGGAACTCGGGTCAGCGGCTTCGTAGCAAAGTGCACGAACCACAACACTGGAGCCGTGCATAAATGACGTCACGCACCTAGGGGGCGGGGGGGGGTCAGACATTTGTGACGATGTGTGACGAGGGGGGGGAGGGGTTGAGAAATGTGACGTCACATCAAAATGCGCAACTTTAAATAAATATAGACAACACGTACTACTTAATTAAATAGACTTTTTAATAAATGTTTTCTCCTACAACATCAGAGTGCAGTGCCACATTAAATACGCACTACAATGACAATAGTTTAAAGCGATTTGAAGCATGTTTTATATGTTTGGGGAGGGGCACAGCTTTGTGACGTCATATTTGAGGGGGGGTCTGACTTTTTGTGACGCCGTGTGACGAGGGGGGGGGGGGTTAAAAATCGTCCAAAATCGCGTGACGTCATTTATGGACGGCCCCAATGTCACTCCAATCAAACCGCTCCCACCCCCGCATAGGCTTAAAGGACTGTTGGGGCAAGTGCTGTTAGTGAGCAGCACCTACGAAGGCCGGGACAGCACACATGGGAGTGAGTGGCCCGCACCACGCCCGACCACCTTTGTCTCCCTTAGTGGCAATGTTTACACACCACACCAGGTACTCATTTGAGGCTGAGCCGACCTAGTGGAGGTCCAGGAGCGGCTCAGACAATCGTCACCGGCGTTGGACCGTGAGCGCGAATCGAACTCGGGTCAGCGGCTGGTGCGTAGCGCGGTGCACTGAACCACGACACCGGCGCTCCCCGCTAAACGTACAGTCTCACCAACTACACACGTGTCGGCTGTACGCGCGCGCGCGCGCTCGCACACGCGTGAAAAAAAGAGAGGCGTTGTTGTGCTGTTGGACATCTCAAGTGTCCGCGCAGCCAGCTGGGAGAACGGGTCGAACGAGTCGCGTGGCTGCATATCCCCCCCCCCCCCCCCGGTCCACCCGCTGAGCCACCTTTGCGAAGGGCGAATCGAAGCTAACTAATCCGCCAAGCACACAGGGCATCAGAAACATCGCGAGTATGGCATGACCCCATGAGAGCACCAAGAGTTTACGCAATGACTCGCCATGAATTGTCACTTCACAATGCCGACTCTCTCTCCCCTCTCTCTCTGAGCATAAAAGTCAAATCTCATACAAGTGGAAACCCGACACGTGCGAGGGGGCAACACCATATTCCTGTACAGAAGGGACAGATGGAGATTAGCCAGGGTATGGCTACCTCCTCGACACCCACGAGAAGGGATTGTTCCTACATTGTTGTGATCCACCAACCCTCACCGCCTCCACACAGTGGCCGGATTTACAGGCACGCGTAGCCACCGCCGCCCACCTAAGGGGCGTTTGCGTGTGGCATTCGTGGTGAATATAGGTGTGGTATGAATGCTGTATATGTACCTGTGTGATATGCGGCGTGCATAGCATGGGCCTCATATAGGTGTGCGGTATGTGATGTACACGGTGCATCACACCACGGGGAGCGGTAGCGTAGCGGCTAGCGTGGTGCTCAACGAACCCGGCGGCCCAAACTCGATTCCCGCTCACGGTCAACACCATTAACGATTATCTGAACCGGTCCTGGGCCTCCCCTAGTTCGACTCAGCCTCAAATTAGTATAGTGCCTGGTGTAAACATCACCACTAGTGAGACAAAGACGGCCGGGCGAGGTGTTGGACATCCACCCCTCCTCGTGTGCGTTGCCGGCCTTCGTAGGTGCTCGCTGACAGCACTTGCCCCAACAGCCTGTTACAGGCTATACGGGGGATTGTCTTTGAAGTACACGGTGAATACCTATGTGGTATGTATGTATGTGTGCAGGTACAGCCCTTTTGTCAATCCACTGCTGGATGAGGACCCTCCGCACTTTCCGCGGGTCGCAGGGGCTGTCTGAGCATGCTTCGCCACGCTGGTCATGGGTGGCTGGGTGAGAGCGGGGGAGGATACATCACGTGGGTTCATAGAAGTACAGCACAACAGTAGATTGTGCGGCACTGCTGCCAACACCGTGCATGGCTCCACGTGCATATGTCTGGTAAAACTATCCATGTACCGGCTGTGTATGGGCACAATGCGATGGAGCCCTATTACAGGACTCCCCAGCTTGTATGATCCGTAGCAGCTGTGGTAGGGTTTGCAAAAACTCCCATTACCGGCAGCCCCACCAATTCGTCCTTAGTTATCCGCGGTTATCCTCCATTTTATCCATAGCGCGAAGTGAAGCGGCTTCCGAATGCGATTGTTCGCGGATGAAGAGGAGTGGCCGCGTGGCGAATTACTCCAATTATCCGCGATTCATTTTCATCCGCGGATAAGAGGAGTAAAATCGCGGACAACCCCGCGAAATGAAATGCTCCTCGATATCGGTCCCCCCCATATCACCACGGATAGGAGTTCTCCAGTACTTGCGTTTATATCTATACGGACAATACAGTAAACCCATGTGCTGTAGACTCCTCTGATCAATTAATGTGTGCGCAGGACACAGCAACACACACACAGAGGAGGGGGACGACTCGAGGCTTGACTTGGACGATAATAGGTGAAGGTGCAGCCCCGCAATTGAGAACCCTACCCAGAGGGTGTTCTTTGGCCTACTCTTCCACAATGGTCAGAAGAGGTCGGAAACGTCCACGGCTTTAGCCCACCACGTATTCCACCCGCCTATCGACTGACTGTGATGCGCACGCATTTCCACGGCTGGGTGGATGTGACAAGGGCAGGGAGATTTTAAGCAACCTGCCCATTGCTTCGACTGCCACGCCGGGGAATCGAAACCGCCGGACCTCTGGATTGCAAGCCCGATGGTGCTTAGCATCACACCCCACTGCGGGCATCCTTCGGTGCTAGAGTGGTAGCAGCTCTTTAATAAGCAGGGGCAGGTTTGACCTACATTCATGTCATGAATGCGCGTTCTGTGTGACAACCTCGCAGAGCAGTGCGTGTTGTTGTCTGTGCCCGCCTCCATACGAGCTCGCTAACAGCCCTTGCCCAACATTCTGTCAAAGCTACTATTATGTACGGTGGTGGTGGTGGTGGTGGTGCGGGTTGTACTTTGTATCTTATTGAAAGTGCTGCGTAAGTTGTTGTGTAGTGCGCCTGGCGATTTGCGCTTTGAACCCGGCGACGTAGGTTCAGTTCCCAGCCACG